AGCTGAACTCTGCAGGGCTGCGGCTCTCCAGGACTGGAGTTCGCCACCCCTGCTATAGACAAACAGTGGGTAAAGGGCAGTGTATTTTTTGTGTGTGTTATATATTAATGTATCTCACTCCAGCCAGGCAACCAATGTTGGCAACCCTGATATATTATAATACAGCATTTTACTTAGCTAATTTTAGATTAAAGTTTTTTTCTTCTGTGTAAAAATAACTTTCCTGGGTATATATTTTTGTAATAAAACAATTCTGTTTCATAAACTTGGTACTAATAACAGCTTAACATTATTTACCTTTTCCTACCTTTGGGGTCTTTGCTATTATATTCTAATATCATTATACCTCAATTAGTTAGTTATAGATTAAGAGTTCTTGTTTTTATGTACAGAGGGCTTGCTGCTGTGTATAATAATTTATGTTGTTAAAATAACATTCTTTTCTGTAAATGCATTGTCTGCTGGTTTATTTAGCTACTTTTCAGTACACCACATTATATGCCACTTAGTACTGTAAGACTGAATGTTAAAGTGCAAATTAACACCTGACCACTCTTGTGGGTTTGGTACTGTTACAATTAAAAATCGCAGATGTAATGATTGATGTAAGCAACACAGCTAAAACAAATAAAACTGATAATGGGTGAGTTATTGACAATAATCAGTCGCATTGGCGACACCGAGGGGCCCCAAATAAAATTCTGCATAATCCTCTCGTGATTAGGCTACCTTAATTATTATGGCATGGCCTGAATGTAGAATTCAGATCATCCAACCCCAATCAAACACACCTGAACAAGCTAATCAAGGCATTCCAGATTACAAGAAAACTACAGCCAGGTGAGTTTGATCAGGGTTGGAATTTACCTGATGTCCTTGGATCTTTAAAACCCCATTTTACAGAGGTTGATATTGCAGCAACACATGTTCGTTTTAGTTTTGTGGGCTTCGCTGTCCGCTCCTCCTGACGCACCAGTTCAGCACATTTTCCAGCAGAGATCGTTGTGAGATCAAAGTGGGTAGGATGACAGCTCGAGTGTTTTTCTCGTTGATTGCTGTTTTATTGTGTCTGTTTGGATACTTGAGCATAACTCACGCTATTCAAAGACGAACCACAGGTGAGAAGATCTGTTGACTTCATTACACAGCCTGGAGAAATGCAGAAATAATTGACTCAGTGTTTGAAAGTAATTAACACAAGTTTAAGAATTAGGTTTTAAAACATTTGATTTTGAAGCAGACAAATATGTAAAATTTGTATTTAAGTTTGAGACACAGTGAAACCCCTGATTTACAAATGTTGAATTCGTACTCCCTGGCCTCCCCTAATGATCCTCTTGAATCCTCTAGTGAACGGTTTCTGTCCGGCGAGGCTGACGGTCGTGCCGTCCCGTCGAGGATGTTCTTCTGATAAAGACTGCCCTGGAGGACACAAATGCTGTCGATTTGACTGTGGGCCTGTTTGCGTGCTGCCTGTTTTCAATGAGTTTGTTAATAATGGATGCTAAGGGTCCAAAAAAAGAAGAACGCACACGCGAGTAACGCATTGAATTCAATGTAAGTTAAGCAGAGACTTTGCCTTTTGTTGTTCTCATCTAAAGTAGGTTTGAATTCATCCCTTAGGGTAGTTTTAAGTACAGCATGGCTTTACAAAATGGAGGATTAATGCTTGGAATATAATTCACTCTGTAGGTAAAACTTGCTACTCATGCTTTGAGTGTTTCGTGCTGTATATAGAAGTAGCATACTGTCTATATGCACAAACTAAAGCTGACTATCTGTGTCCACGCAATGAAGCCGGGTCAATGTCCCATACCGGAGTCGATTCCACTGTGTGCTGAAAGCTGTTTCCAGGATGGCCAGTGTCCTGCCACACAGAAATGTTGCCCAACCACCGGTGACTTTGCATGCAGTGAACCACGTGGTCAGGCAAGTTGTCAAGGAAATGGCCATGGTCAGGGAAGTGGCCAGGGCCAGGGAAGTGGTCACGCCAGGGTCAGGGAAGCGGCTATGGTCAGGGAAGCGGCCAGGGAAGCGGCTATGGTCATGGAAGTGGCTATGGTCATGGAAGCGGCCAGGGAAGTGGTCATGGTCAGGGAAGCGGTCAGGGAAATGGCTATGGTCAGGGAAGCAGCCAGGGAAGCGGCTATGGTCATGGAAGTGGCCAGGGAAGTGTTCATGGTCAGGGAAGCGGTCAAGGGAATGGTCAGGGATGTGGTCATTGAAATGGTCACAGTAGTTTTGCATAACGCTTACTGGAGATAATTTCAATTCAGTGCTTTATTCATATGGCATGTGTTCCCTGTTTGTTCAAACAGTTTAGAGATTTTATGTCCTTTCCAATGCAAGTTAAATATTAAAGGGGTGGTTCACTGGCTTTTTTTGAGGCTTGATTGTGTTTATGGGATGCAGTCTAACGTGTTAATGCGTGTGTTTTTTTTGTTGTTTTTTTTAACTAATTTTTCACATAATTTACCTTTTTATTCCACACCGCTCTGTCCCTTCTCTGAGAAACGGGCTGATCTTTCCCTGTTTTTATGAAGCCCCGCCCTCAGAAATAGGTAATGGGCTCTGATTGGTTAGCTAGCCCAGTGTAGCCCATTGTGTTTGGCTAAACCACCTCTAGTGCGCGTCTAAATGTCCCGCCCCTCACCTCAGC